GAAAAGAATGTAAACCTAGGAAAGAACAACTATTTTTTATTAATTGTTTATATTTTCATTCACCAATAGTAGAAGACTTTGCTTTGCTCATACGTACTTGGGTAAGTAATCAGATAAGTGTACCCATAAAAAACCATTAAATGACCTAAACAGAACTGAAGACAAGTTTTTAACAGGAATGAAAATTTTGGGTTTTTCAACCATCCGTATAATTGACCCCATTACTCAAAACTCTCCCATGTTTTGTATGGTAGGTCTTGTGGGTCTTTTTACCTTACGTGCTAAATTTCAAAGAAATTGCTTTAACCCTTATCATTTTACAGCAGGCAAGCTTAGCCTGAAATTCTTACTTTTCTCCTCCTTCACACCAATGAAAAAACAAACACTTCCTGTTGATCAACTTCTTTCAAATTTGGTACATATACGTTCCCATAGCTTGACAGCAAATTAGCCTGTAGTAGCTCAAGTATTCTTGGAGATACGAGCATAAGTAAGCTAAAATTATGCCAAAATCTTGCAAGTTTTTGTGCTTGCCTGGTGAAAAATTAGTTAACATGATGGCACTGAAATTTCTACCACATATTAGAGTATTTTTAAACATGGCCTTTTTTTGATTTTATGAAAATCGGACACGAAATCTAGAAGTTACGAGCCCAAAAACTCCAATGTGTGAAAATGTTTACATGATTTTTATGTACTACTTCAAAACTAATAAAAACACTTCCCAGTGTGATTGCCCAGGTAGAATATTACATGACATCACTTTATCTACTATATAAAACTATACAATGCATATCTACTACAAGAAATCACATGAGCTGGTGTTTTATGTTTAGCTATACACCGACTTGTAGTAGATATGTATACTCTACAAATTTTGAATGCTTAGTCACAAGTCTTCATAAACTACATAAAACTTGACAGTCAGTAACTTTTTTCAGAAAGAATAATAACTTTATATAAAAGTTTAAAGAGCCTGTGAACTTCTAAGAAAACATATGAAAATTGAAGTTTGCAGAAACTTCTGACCCTCTGAATCAGTTTAACTTCACTCAAAAAATGAATTAATTGTTGTATAAAAATCTAAAAAAAAAAAGTTTAATTCTAGAATGAAACTTTTGATTTGTTTACAAGTCGATGAACTTTTGTTACCATGGATCACTCATCAAGATAACTTAGTAACTGAATGTCTCATACAGAGAACAACTCTTGAATGTTAGCTTTCAGACATCTTGCATTGGTTTTG